TCTCAAGCAAGGGCTGCTGCAGCCTTCAGCAGCTTCTCCGTGGTGCTGCCACCATGTAACATTGAAGTTGTGTTCAGTACCCATTGACTTTCACCACATCGCCTTGTCCTTGAAGCCTGACTGTACTTGATTCCTGGCAAGTCTTTTTCTATACATTTCTATGATGTGGCATTCAGTGTGCTAGTTCTCAGGTAGTGCTCTTAATTATTTACCTCTTTGACTTCAGATTTCAGCTCTCATTTCTGTTGACCTCCTTATTTTCTCTTTGTCAAATAGTGAGCTCAGTATACCTAAAACCAGATTCAGCATTTTTCTCCACAGTGGCTTCTTCCTTGCCCTTGCTCTGTATTCTCTGAGTCCTGAGCCTAAAAAGAAAAATTCACCATCTTGGGCTTCTTAATTGCCTATATTCCCTATGTTTGTAATAAGCTTCTTGCCCCTGTATTGTGGCAAAAAGTGCTTATCTGTCTCTCAGTCTGGGACACTTCCCAGCCATTATCAGGGATGGCAAAAAGCCTCAATTCGTGGTTCTTCATTCAGCTTCAGATTGGTCCAATTACTGGTTCCATTCTGAACTTGAGATTCGTTTCCCATCTGCTCCCACTTCCTGCCCTGGTTTCTTAACCCTTTCTGCCATATATCCCTAACACCTAGATTGTCACTTTTCAGACTATTATAATGTGCACATGAATCTCTGGGGATTTTGTCAAAATACAGATTATGATTCAGGAGGTCTGGGGTGGGGCCTGAGATTCTGTATTTCTAAGGAACTCTTGGTTGATACCCATGCTGCTAGCTCAAGGACCACACTTGGTAGCAAGGGCTCCTAGCAACAGTCTCCTAAATTTGCTTCCTTGCTCACCTTCTCCCTCCACAAAGGGAAAAACACTAGTGCTGTCACATTGCCAGGCTTTCTGAATCTCACACCACCAGCATCATTGGTTGCCACCATCATTGGTCCCCAGCATAGGAGATTGCTCAAATCCCCTGGGGACATCATGAATAACACTGATTCTTGGGTTCCATCCCTGGAGATTCTGACTCAATAGGTCTGGGGTAGGACCTCAGAATCTGTATTTTTAAAAAGCACCCCAGGCAGTTTTGATGATTTTTTTTAAGGACCAGTGTGTTACAGGCTAAAATCCAAACTGAAACCTTAAATATAGTCTCCCCCAGTAGATCCAGTCTCCTTTACTTCTCATTTATTACTCCCCTCCAAGCCTTTGTTCCAAGCAGACTGTCTCTTAAAAAGACCCAGAGTATTCCCTACTCTTTACTCTGGCTCCACCTACAAACCCTACCCACTCTATAATTACTTTATCATATCTGTGTATGTTCATCGTCACTCCACCAAGAATACCAGCTACTGGAAGACAAAGTGCCATGCACACAGGTGGTAGGAAGAGACTTTGTCTCCACTCTCTTTACTTCTGTCAAGTCCAACCATCCTCCCAAGTTCTACCAAGTCATTGCCCTACCCCCATATTCAAGTCTCATGGGAAACCAACTTTTCTGGAAGAATGGAAAATGTGACTCTCTTGACTGAAATAGAAATGACACCCTGCCCTGACACATAAGAAAGGATGCTGAGTCACACTTCAATCCTATCTGGAAACAAGTCTTTGAGGATAGGGGCTTTGTATTATATTTGTTCTATGTCATTTTCATAAGTCAAAAACATCTCCTGTTCACCATTAAATGAAATGCTAAACAAATGTCTGAATATGTTTGATGATCTCCCGGAAGGTGACACATAACGGTAGGGATGGAAAGGGTCATTATAGCTTATTAGCTGAAATGACATCAAAGTTTTCTAATTAGCTTTTTCAAACATCCTTCCTCCAAGAAAATATTAGGTGTTGAACCTCAATATATCTGTACTCCTAAAATATGATTAGAACAGTCTACAGTGGCGTGGAACACATAAGGCTAACACCAGCCATGAAAAATCAGGATCTATCAGCATCAGCTTAATTTACATGGTTAGAAACACTTATGGCTCAGTTGGAATTAAGAAATGAGGCCGACTCAGCACCCAGGGGGGTGTCTAAAGAAAGAAAGGGAAACAACATCCACAAGTCTTCTTTGTTAACCAAAAATGTGTTCCCTGGACCAAACCTAACAAGAGTACCAGATCCATTGTGATGTCCCCCAAACCTGCCCCTAGCTCACTCCCCGACCTCTCTCTTCCGATCCAGGACCTTTCTGGACCTAAAGCTGTCCCCTGCTCACTGCTGTGCTCTTTCTTTTATGCCTCTATTCTAGGCACATACTATTTCCTTTGTTCAAAGGTCCTGCCACACACTCACTCAACCTTTAAGATCAAATGCCACCTCTGGAGAAAAGGTAGTTGCTTCATTCTAGGGAGGGAGTGGGGTCTAAACTGGTGCCACTTTTTTTTTTAAGAAGCCAGAGTTTATTTCTATTTAAACAATACTCAAGGGATTTTTCAGAAGATCAAAAGGGCCAAAGATGGCGGGTTTAATATGATATTATAGCCAGGCAGTTTAGAAATCTTCAGGACAACCCTGGGTGGTTTGATGCCTCACTAACTCTCCTAGTCCACAAGTGGTGAATTCCTCTGAGTTTTGGCATCATTCATATGAGGCAATCCCTCCAATAATGGTGACCAAAAACAATGCTAGAAGCAATCATCATCGTTGAGAGGAAGAAAGGTAAATAGAGAAGAAAGCCACCATAGCAATTTCAAAAAGCAAAATTATTAATCTGGTATAAAACAAACAGAAGTGTTTGCAGAATTTACATGAAAACCCTTCTTGCATTATTCTTTGAAACCAGGTCCTCTGACTATGAGCTAGAGTAGCTGGGATGGTGACGGATCTTGTAATAACATGTTTCTTCGTATTCTTTTTCTCAGGCTCTTGCACAGTGCTGAAAACTGGCCGACGTGATCAATGTATTTCAAGTAAGTGGAGGAGTTGCTGATTTACCTGTATGAGTAGGACCTTTTGCCAGTTGATCGAAGGTCAGTCCCTCTTCTGACTTCATTGGACTTTTCCAAAGTAAAACCGCTAGTAAAACCAAAGTAAAAACACTAATATCTCTCAGCCACAACAGTAATAACAGCTATCGTAAGAGCAGCTAATATTAATTGAGCATTCACTATGTGCCCAGTGCTGTGAAGCCTTAACATGGACAATTTCAGTTAACTTCACAAATTATGCCCATTTTACAGATTAGGAGCTTGAAGTTTAAGACACCAAGTAATTTGCCTACCCAATTTGCCAAGGCAGTACGTGAAGGAGTCAAGACGGAAGCACAGAAGCCATGTACTGCATTATTAAGGTATTACTGCTAGCAACTAATCAACACCACTAGGCTCATGGTTACTGACTCCTTACCCAGTGACACTGAACTCCACTTAGCAGCTCTTCCCACTCCAGGTGTGCAGCATCAGACTCTCTCTTACTGGCTGAGGGGAGCACAAGCCCTCTGGATTTGTGGAAGGGAAGGGCATGGCGGCCATCTCAGTGTTGTCACCTGCCAATGGAAATTATCACAAAGCACTTGGAGTCTTTTTTGGTGGGTTCTGGCCTGGTGACAAGTGCAAGCTACTTTACTCCTTATGGATCTTGAAAAACCAAAGCTTCAGTGGCTGTACCTGTCAGTAACTGACTTCTGGTGATGCCGCTGGAAGAGCAGGCTCCACATAAGTCTTGAAGATAAACCGGTGTCCTATATTTTTAAGTTGTTAGCTAAGGGTCCAAACTCAAAACTTGTAGTACCTCCTCCAGAAAGCCTTTTCTGGCACCCAATCAACTCTAAGTTCATTCTTTCCACTCCCCAATTCCTTGGTATTCTAAGTCCTTTCAGTTCATTGCCCACTTAGGGCTTAAGAGGAAAGTCGCTCTAAAACATGGCAAGCATTCCATAAAAAACTGCAAATAACGGCATCACAATGCCAGTTCGTGTAATTTTTAGAGCCAATGAGAACAATCCCATTTTTCTGAAAAAGACTACTGATCTTTGAGATTTGAGAATGCAGCTGGCTCTCGATTTTATTTCTCCCTGGCAAAGGGAATAATGATGGCCCGGCAAATCTATGGGGAAGAGCGCGTGTGCGTGTTCTGCTTCGGCTTTTCCCAGATGTCAGTTACTGAAGGTTCAAGGCACAAATCCCCCCGCCTGTTTTTCCTCAGTAGCTGCGTTCAAAGAGGCATTGGGAAGGCAGGTGGGACAGCTCACACATGGACATCCCGCATGCATCCGTGTGCATTTAATTCAGACCCAGACCTCATTTGATAGCAACTTTAACGTATTGGAAAAGATGAGAAATTGGGCTGTGAGTTTTATCTGGATTCGTGGGCACAGTATCAGCAAGATTAGCGGTGCCTTTGCCGAGGGCTGGTAATGCCTATTAAATACCTGCCACAGGTGCCGCATGGGAAATGAGAGGCCCAGGGCACCTGTGAGTCTGCGGGGTCGATTCTCATCTGGGGAGAGCAGCGTCCTGGGCAGTGATTGAAGTGTCCAGCAGGGGGCTGGCATTCTCTGTAAGTCGCCCTGGTTCCTCTGCAGAGCCTCGGCTCCGCAGAGCTGCCGTTTGCTGGTTAAGTCGGTGACGTGCATAGCATCCTGCCTATAGGATTTGAGGCTTTCTCAGTGCAGTTTTTTTTCTACCCACTTTAAACCTTCAGGTTCTAACTATCAGGAAAGATAGGAAATGCCGTGTGAAAATAGCCGGCTAAAAGTTCTTAGTAAACTGCAGCCAGGGAGACTCAGACTAGAATGGGGGTAGAAAGAGTTGCTACAGAGTGGGTTTAATTCTAAGCCCTTTCTGGCTGACTTTTTTGTTGTTTTGTTGTTAACTTAGTGAATTTAGCTATGTATCACATTGGTCAGGTGAAGACCAGAGCAGCACCAGCATCAAAATAGCGCCAGACCTCTCTGAATGCCATAGTATTATACGTACTCAGAGTATTTTTGTTAAAGAAGATCAAGAGCCCAGCATAGATTTTTATCCTCATTTTCACCCAACTACAAAATCAAAGTTAAGCAACAGCATCTAAGAGCACTTTTTAGGTGGGAAAGAACCTAGAGGATGGCTCTGAATGATTGTTTGCTTTTGAACTTGGAAGTGGACCACTTTTTGCACTGCAACGTCTCCAATCACAGTGCAGATCTCCCCATGAACGACGACTGGTTCCACCCAGGGATCTTCTATGTCATCCCTGCCATCTACGGGGTCATCATTCTGATAGGCCTCATCGGCAACATCACCCTGATCAAGATCTTCTGTACAGTGAAGGCCATGAGAAACGTGCCGAACCTGTTCATCTCCAGTCTGGCCTTGGGAGATCTGCTCCTCCTGGTAACATGCGCCCCCGTGGACGCCAGCAGGTACCTGGCCGACAGATGGCTATTTGGCAGGATTGGCTGCAAACTGATCCCCTTTATACAGCTCACCTCCGTGGGGGTGTCTGTCTTCACCCTCACGGCTCTCTCGGCGGACAGGTAAGTTCTGGAGGAAAGTCCCATTCTCTCTAGGGTGGTAGTAGACCCCTTGGTAAATGAGCCACCAGCTTGGGTCAGATGGAGCTGTTTGCACCAGAAGTTTTACTCAAACACAGATTCCCTTCCAGGCACGTTTTTCTTCTGGGAATTACTTCTTGAGTTTGACGTATTGGTTTAAGTAAGAAAACAGAGTGGGTGATGGGATGAAAGGGGACAAATGAGAAAAAAAAAATCTCTGAGCATAAGATTGAAGTGTATTTTCTGGAGACAGATCGATTTAGCATTGCTTTTTCCTAACTTCTCCCTCCCTGCAAAATTAATTGACTGGTGAGAAAAAAAATATCACACCTAATAGAGTTTACACCCCAGGCAAATGTTTCTTAGAACCAATTCCAAGTCTTCAGACAACAGAAAAGTCCCACTGAATTTCTTCCTCAAAATATTCTTTCAGAAATAAACAAGACGAGAAAATAAGCAGCATCTCCTTGAAGTTTATTTTTCTCAGGCCATTTAACTTTTCTCACAGCTGATTTTGTATTTGGCTCTGTGTAACCAGAGAGCTGGTTTTTCTAAGTGTCTCTTCAGTGAAATCAAGCATTGCTTGGATTTTTTTTTTTCTTTCCTCGAGAAAGTTCCATTCAAGTTTGATTTTGAATTTTAATATCTTTATTGATGTACTTCCATATACAGTGGCTTTGGGGGTTTTTGGTGGGGGGAGGGAGTCCAGCGTTTTATTCTGGGAAATTCTCGTATTTGTGAACTGCATTTCCTGTGTGAACATGTTGCTTAAAAATTCATTTATTCTGTCTTAAAGATTCATATTCCTTCTTTGAACATTTACCAAGCATCTATTATGTAAGAAAACACTTGCTTGAAGGAGCCAGTCAGAAAATATCTGCAGGTTGTTCACACACACACAATGCTGCCTATATCATATACTTCTGAGCTCTAGAAACTTGATGTAGCAGTGGATAGATTCCAGAAGCATCGTGGAGGATATGGTCAAATTAAGAAAAACTGGAACAATGAACCAGAGACTATAAGTTTGGTTTTTTTTTTTTTAAGATTTTATTTATTTATTCATGAGGGACAGACAGAGAGAGAGAGAGGCAGAGACCCAGGCAGAGGGAGAAGCAGGCCCCATGCAGGGAGCCCGACACGGGACTCGATCCTGGGACTCTAGGATCATGCCCTGGGCCGAAGGCAGGCGCTAAATGGCTGAGCCACCCTGGGATCCCCTATAAGTTTTTATCTTAAAATGCACTATATGTTATGCTGTTAAAGATACATAAGGATTTGACAGTGTACCAGGAAGGGCATTGAAGCAGCTCTTGAAAGTTTATACTCTGAAGAAAATGTCCCACATTTTAATACATATGGTGGTGGATTTTCATTTTATAGAGGAACAAACAGTCCCCAGGTGATCTGGCTTTGTCAAGTAATAGACAAATAAAGATAGTGTTATCAGTATTTGTAGACATGTGTTTATACTTAGCTGCCTGAAGTACACTGTTCATTTTCAAAGATGGAAAAATAATAGCCTGGAGACAAGGTTTGCACATCGTACCGGCCGGCCAGGGTTTCTCTCACCTCCAGCTTGCTCTAACCTGGACATTAGCCCACCAGGTACTAGTGGCCACGGGCGGTTTCCCGTGTTGATCCAGGACAGGCAACTGTGGGGCTGGCACAATGTGGCTCATTACTAATGACCAAAGGCATCTCAGGAAGGAGGCTAGTTTTCCTGATGGGAAGATAAGAGTTTGGATTCCGGGTTGGGGGTGCAGTGGTATAGAGGGTGTTGACCTTCTTCTTGGGGTGGAGGTGGGGGGCGCAGAGAGGAGAGCGAGGGTGTGGAATATAAAGATGCAGCTGCAGGGGACTCCTTCCAGAGTTGCAGAGTAGACCAAATTCCCCAACAGCAGAAAGACTCTTTCAAAAGCCGGGTTACAGCCTTTGGCAGCTCTGGTGTGTTCTCAGCAAGTTTATAGTTACTGTGTGTCCTCCCCTACTATTAGCTCCCATGTAACTAACTTTTTCGCTTTGCTAAGGCTTCAAAGGGCTGATGGATCTCCTGAATCCTAGGTAGTGCATCTAACCAATTTTGACAAGAATAAGTATTGAGCTAATTAAATAATAGAAAACTGTACTTATATCTTTATCTCATTTGTTTTAAAAAGATTTTATGTAGTTATTCATAGACACAGAGAGAGAGAGAGAGAGGCAGAGACACAGGCAGAGGGAGAAGCAGGCCCCGCACAAGGAGCCTGACTTGGGACTCGATCCTGGGTCTCCAGGATCACGCCCTGGGCTGAAGGTGGCGCTAAACTGCTGAGCCACCCCGGCTGCCCTCTTTATCTCATTTGTAAAAAGATTTTTTTTTTTTTAATTTGAGGGAGAGCAAGAGAGCACCAGCAGCAGGAGCAGCAGAAGGAGAAGGAGAAGCAGACTCCCCACTGAGTGGGGAGTCCCCGACGCGGGGCTCAATCCCAAGACCCTGGGATCATGACCTGGGCCAAAGGCAGCCGCTTAACTGACTGAGCCACCCAGGCACCCCTATTTATCTCATTTTAAAAAGCTATTGTTGTCTTATAATAACCTCATGAGTTATAATAACCCTCATGGTAGGGCAAATACCCACACATTCTATCTATATTTTTTTCTCAATAAGGTATGATCTAGGTACAGGAAAGTGAACAAGTGTAGAGCTCAATATATTTTTACTTATATCTTCATAACAACATAACCACCACCCAGATGGAGATAGAGAATAGTTCCAGCACCCCAGGAGTTTCTTTTAGGCCTCGTTCCAGTTAATATCCACTCTCACAGAGAGGCAATCACTGTTCTGAGTTCAATTAACGTAGATTATTTTTGCCAGTTCTTTAATCTCATATTAAGGGAATCACATTTCTTATGCTTATCGTCTGTGAGAGTCATCTATGTTGGTGCACATAGGAAAGGTTTGTTCTTTTTAATTCTTTTTTTTTTAAGATTTTATTTATTTATTTATGAGAGACACACGGAGAGAGGGAGGCAGAGACACAGGCCAAGGGAGAAGCAGGCTCCACACAGGGAGCCCGACGTGGGACTCGATCCCAGGTCTCCAGGATCACACCCTGGGCTGAAGGCGGTGCTAAACCGCTAAGCCACCCGGGCTGCCCTGTTCTTTTTAATTCTTGTGCAGTATTTCAGTGTATGAACATACCCCAGTTTATGTATCCATTCTAATACTGATGGACATTGGGTTGTTTCTAGTTTAGGGTTTCTAATAACCTACTCTGGATATTCTTATTCATGCCTTTTAGGGGAGCATACATGTTTATTTCTCTTGCGTTTAAGCCTGGGAATGGAATCCCTGGATCACAGGGGACATATATTTAGTAAAGATCATCAAAGAGTTTTCTAAAGTGCTAGTCTGTATTTGACAGGTTGGTAAAAGGATGAACCAGAAGACCCTTCAGACTGGATGATCATCACAAACCAATGGGGAGCTCAAAAACTCTACAGCTTCTTAGCCCCTATCCAAAATCTCCTGAATCAGGGTTTCTGAGGTGGGAATGGCATAGTGATAATCATCCATCCCTGCCCTCTGTGGTTCACCAGCGATGCCAGGACTCATCCCCATCTCCCTTCTGCAGTCCTCCTTTCCCCAGGGGGAACTTGAGTCTTTGTTAATATGAAAGAAGTAACGGTTTTCTGGAAAAGTGTATACTGCTGCACTGTGTCAGAGAGAAACTTCAAGGCAGTCCCAGAAACCAGAATTCTGGGTTGCACACGGCTGACCAATTGCAGACTTGCATTCAAGCCCCTTCACACTTGGTCCCTGGAGCCCTCTCCTTTCATGCCTTCTTCCCCTTACGCACGCACTGATGTCCTCGTCCGTGGTGGTCATTCTGACAGGTTCCTGGCTCTGCTTCCTTGCTTATGCTGTGTCCTGCCCACTCTCCAGAACGCTTTCTCCTTTCCAGCATAGAAGACTCTACTCCCCATGTGATGTATGGGCTTGGAATGGGCATTGATGGTCCTCCATTTTAGGCTTTTGCTGCCATTACTGCCCATTTAAGGGAGTTGGATGAAATCACTTAACTCTCTGGCCTTAGTTGAATCATCTATAAAGTAATAGAGTTGAGCTAGATTATTTCTAAAAAAAAATTTTTTTTAGTCTGTCACCTTGCCTATCATTCTGAATATGGTTCAAGCTTCCTCCTTAAAGCCCTAAGTTGGACCATTCTAGCCCCAAGTTCCTAACCCTCCCCTAAACATAAAGCTTATTATCTGAGACATGAATTATCTTTGACTTCTCTCATCTTGCTCTTTTGAAGTATTTCACTCATTTGTCTATTTTTGGCCTCTGGTACATTCATTGTATTAACTTTTCAAGTAGATTATTAAGCATGCTGAGAGCAGAGATTTCTTATATATTCTCATATCCCCCACAGTGCTTCATGTGGTTCCTTGGACCAAATGGGTGGTCAATAAATATTGACTAATTAAAATTATGGTTAATTAATGCATACTTTTCTTTTTTTAATCTTTTTTTAAAGATTTATTTATTTATTGAGAGAGAGAGAGGCTGCATACTTTTCTTCTCATTCTTTTTCTTCTCCTTTTTCAGAATTCATCTGAAAGCATACTCTAAAATGTTTCATACAGTCACCAGCTTCTTATCTCTTCCTTTCTGTCAAACTCTCACTGTTTGAGTAAATAAGAGAAAAACCTTTCTTTCTGAATCTGTAAATAGATTCAGGGGATGAATAGATGGGTGGATGGATGGATAGATGAAATGATAGATAGGTGAGTGGATGGGCAGATGGACAGTGTTCTACTTTTTACATACTGGTCTTTCCTACTAGATGCCCATTTTTGTACCAGGTGCCTCCGTATTATGTAAATGGAGTTTAAGACTAGAATTGGGGGATCCCTGGGTGGCTCAGGGGTTTAGCGCCTGCCTTCGGCTTAGGGCGTGGTCCTGGAGTCCCGGGATCGAGTCCCACGTCAGG